CCAAAGTTGTGTCAGTAACTGTTAAGAGACATAAACGTTACCTAGAAACCTAAATATGGATGTTAAATCTATCTAAATATGGATGTTAAAATTACCATAATCTTCCATTCTGATCAAAGATCTTCATCTCCACTCCTGCTTAGCCCAGGATTTGGCTATTTTCAGCTGCACTCTGAAAAACTCCACATGCAGGGGACAACTTCTTCCCTGCATCAGCTGTATACTTACTCCATAGAGTAACCTGCCTGCACCTTCATGGAGACACTTAGTATATTTGTAATTAATAGCACTAACAGTAACTAATAGTAACTGAAGCCATCTGAGATGATGCAAGAGCCATATGAGCGATGTATTCCAAGTCTCCATGTAAATGTAGTGCTCTGGAGCCACAGCCAAAATTCAGGGCTTCTGAGTCTGGACACAGCCTGCTTCCCAATTTCTGTCTTATCTGCCACTGTCTGAACGGTCAGAGAAGTCTGTATTGTTTGAATTTACCAGGAGTATTTCCATCTGTGTTCTGATGAGTAAGGGCAACACCAAGTTTCACTACCCTGTGAGCCTTGGGATGTATCTAGGGGTACAAAGGACCTGGGCTACCAGTGACTGACCTGCAAGAACTAAACCAAACTGGAAATACTTTGCGTCTTTCCATTACCTAAATCCTGTTGATTAAGGTTTTACCTTGAGAACAAATGATCCCTTAATCACTGCTCACAAAGGTAGTTCCTACATGGAATTTAAAATTTTCGTTTTAATCATGTACTGCTTGCTTGGTATAATATAATGTTCAATTCAATATTAAGCAATTTTGGGTTTTTTCTATTTTATACATATGCACGACTCAATTATGTCCTCTATGACAGTGATAGGATTGCCTAGATTTATTTGGAATATAATCCTGGCAGGGCACAGTGCTCCTATGAATAAATGTGTATTAAATTCTACTTTGGCTTTCATAATAGATGGGGGGGTAAATCTAAAAACTAACCTTTTAATTTCCATTACTGTTTTTCACTTATTTTAATGTAGTTAATGGATGATTTAGAGAGAACTCTTAGTTTGGAAGAGATGACCAAGAAATTTTTAGATGCCATATAAAAACATTGGAATGTTGTTTCTTGATTTTGGTTATGCAGACTAAATTTGTGAACTATGTCCTATTCTACATTTTAATACAAAGCCCAATAAACTACTAATTTTTAAAATGGAATACTTATTAATAAAATTCCCACATTACAAAATGAAAGAATCTGTTATGTTTGAGACATGAAGAATATTAGAAAAAAATACAATTTTCCAAAGCACCCTAACCATCTGGGATACTGTACCTGTTTTCTTACAATCTGGAGTTTGTATTGAGCTTTGTGACTTGAACTTCTTGTCTCATGGGTATCTCTGTCCACAGATGGAGGGCACCTGCTGCACAAAACTGCTTAGAAGATGGGAAATCTGTTATCACAGCGACACCTACTGGTGCTGTATATTTCAGATTCTAAATTAAGGATTGATTCTTCAATGTCAAAGCTTCGCATAGTAAATTAGTTTCCACTTTAATTATGTAGTATATAATTAACTTTAATTATGATTATTTATTATATAATTTACCACATAAGGTTTTTATTTTGTGACAATGGTCTGTCATTTTATTATTCATTCATCTTTTTTGTTTTGTTTTTTGGCACCAGGGATCAAACTCGGGACTTCGAGCCTGAGAGGCAGGCGTGGTGCCACTGAGCTAAATCCTCAGCCCAAAAGGTCTTGATATATAATTTGGGCTGGTCTTGAACCTACTGTGTAACTCACGCTGGCCTGGAACTTGGGGCTGTTCTACCTCAGCCTCCCACATGCTGGGACTGCATGTGTGTACCACCACACCCAGCTCTTACTGTACATTAATTTCCTGAATGATTTTCTTAAAAAACATGACTTCCAAAAAGTTGCTTAAGCATTTCTGATGACATGAGGTTTTAAAAAATTGAATTAGTGATTTTATTCCCTACAAATTCTATTTTAAGAAAAAGAATTACATTGAATATCAACTCTGACTATATCCTCTGAAGAATTATGTTAACAATATAAGCAGTTTCATAAAAATCAACAATCTGATCCATGCAGAGGAAACTGAAGTACCATCCAGCTAACCTCATACACTGGCTTTTCATCTGGTCAAACTTCATGTTGATAATGGTATTTGTTTGAGATGCCTGGTCTCATCAAACTTTTTAAAATTTATTGTGGGGGGGAGACTACGCCAAGCAAGTTTAAAAGCACATTTGTTTCAATTTTTTAAAAAGCAGTGTTGTGCACATGGGCTGCAGGGTGGATCCGCAGGCCCTGAGTGACCAATGTGTGCCTGAGGCTGGGTCTCCTGCATGTGCTTTCTCCTCTCTGCCATCATAAGTGCTGCACCACTTGACCAGAAAATGTCTATTCTGTGATTTCTGGTGCGGGTCCCTGGCGTGCAGATGAGTGAGTGCCTTCTTGCTCTGACCTTTCCTCTGTGCTTGCAGGGGACAGGTCAGGCTGTGGTATCTCTTCCTGTTCTTATCAGGACACTAGCCCCACCTTCCGACCTCACGTTGGGATTGGTGTTTAAGTCTTTGACTTTTGAAGAGAACAGAATTGAGCTCAAATTAGAGAATGAGGTGCATCAGTAGCAGGGCTGGGAAACCCCAAAGAAAACTGACTTCTGAAAATGAGCTGGGAAAACATCTATTCCTGCTCTTCTTAACTCCAAGCAGAACTCTGTGTGTGTGTATGTGTGTGTAAAAGCCTAGTTCCAGTGTGTGTGTGTGTGTGTGTGTGTGTGTGTGTGTGTGTGTGTTAAAGCCTAGTTCCAGGCAGATACATCAGTGGGGAGCAGGATAGGCAAAGAACCTAAGCAAAAAACTGATTTTGAAGCAGCACAGCATTTGCAATGTCTCAAGAAGCAACTGGTGGTACTGGAAAAAGAACATCATTTCTCTGGAAGAATATACTTGAACCAAAACAAATTCCAAAAATAAAGTTCAGAAGAACATGAAGTCACAATCAAAAATCACTGAACACACTAGAAAACAAGACATCATAAACTCATTTTAGCCAAAACAACAAAATATAGATTCAGATGCACATAAAAGAAACATGTTGAAATTACCACATTTGGAACAAAAAATGAGAATTTAATGTTTCAAGAAAATAAAAAGGGGAAAACAGAACTATCCTAAATGACCAGTTTAAGAACCAAACACTTCTGAAAACTGAAAAATACAATAATTCATAACACGACAAATGAGTTAAATAGATGAGAGATGGGGGTGTGAGGGGACAGAATTAGTGAATCAGACAATAAATTTAAAGAAATGACACAGAATTCAACACCAAGATCAAGATATGGAAAATATGAAACATAGACTTAGGGATCTGGAGCAGAGTGAGATGGTAAAACATCAGGTTAATCTGATTTCTCAAAGAAGAGAACAGAGAGAATAAGATAGATACACTATTCAAAGAGTCGGAGCTAAGTATTTTCCAGAATTCAGGAAAGGCACTATTTGAATACTAATTTAGGACAATAAAAAGCTTAAACATCTTTTAGCATAACATTTCATTGTAGAACACTAAAGATAAAAATCTTAAACATGACTTGGGAGAGAATTAACAGATTAGTTACAAAGGAGTCCCGATCACACTGACAGCTGTCATTTCAGAAGTAAAAAGAGAAGACAGGCGGCGGGATAATACTAAATACTGAGAGAGTGCAGCTGTCAATGTTGAACTGTAGACCCAGCCAACTTTCAAGGATAGTAAAATGGTAAACCTGTAGGGTATGTCTAAACACCGACTATATAATATAACTATGGTTGGAGTTAAACCAAGAAAGAACTAAAATTCTAGACAATAATTATTTATAAGTTGAGGGGACAAATATGAGACTTTGTTCGGTAAAGATATTAACTTGAGATATGCAAATCATGTTTCCTGGTAAGCTCTAAAAGATAAAAACTGAGTGTTTAACTTCTAACCTAGGAGAAGAAAAGTAAATGAAAAAACACAACAAAAGTCAATCCAAAAGAAATCAAGGACTAGAACTACAAAAAGAAAAAAAAAGAAAGAAAAACATAGAAAAGTTGGTATAAAAAACACAAAACAGGATGCATAAATTCTAATGTATTAGTAATTTCAATAAATGTATGAGTAAATAGATTAAAAATCTATTTGAAACAATCAGAAAAAAATCTAGTTATGGTTTTAAAGAGATACATACAAAACATAATAGAAAGGTCCAACAAAAGGATAAAAACTATACATTACATAAATACTAACCAGCAGGTGTGATCTATATTTTAAAACCCTTAGATTTAGAGCAATATAAAATGAAGTAAAACTATCATTACAAATATAGCATATCACTATAAATGTTAGTCAGTTCTAAAATGATTCTAAACATGTATGCACCTAATAACAAAGCCTCAAAAAATATTTTTTAAAGGACAGAATTATAGGGATGTTAACAAATCACTAGAAAAGGAAATTCTAACAAATTTTAGAATCTGAAAGATGAAGTAAAAGGAAAAAATAGTAAAACAGAACTTAACCAATACAAATGATGAGCTAAGTCAATGGACAAGCAACAATGAGAAAATATTCAGACTTTTCAAGCACTCATGGAACACAAAAATTGACCATATTCTAGATTATGAAGCAAATCTCAACAAATTTCAAATGACCAGTCTTATATATACCTATTCTCTGAATACAGTTCAATTAAAGAATTTTTAAATCTATATTAGAAAATGAAAGAAAAAAAAACACACACAAGGCAAAAAATAAATTTAAAAAATACTTTGAAATATTTTTATAGTACTTTAAAATTACAAAATATTTCATTTCATCAGTATAATAATCCTATGAGCTACACAAGATGCACAGTATCTGTTCTAGATAGCAGAAATGTAAATTTTGTAACTATTAAAATTAATTTTTATATAATATATATAACAAAGTGATTTGGAAACTACAAAGCAAAAGTGAACATGTTCAGCAGTAAAAACAGCAAAAGGGAGGTAAATGGACCCTTTTAGAAGGTATATGAATTCTAACAATCTAACAAAGTTACAAAGAAAGAATTGAACATTTTAATATTTAAGGCTTAAAAAACCCTCAACTTTACTTTGGTCTGGGAAGCCCCTGGACACTCATGGTGTGATGGTAATTAATGGCATTCCAAAATGGTCCTATAATACAAAGGGAATTTTCATTTAAGGCTCCCCTCCTTTTTCATGCATGGGATATTTTTGGAAGTATTTTTTTCCACCCACTGAAAGAGAATTAAGAAAATTCCAACATGCTTTAGTGTCAGCAAGTGCTCTTTTCGTCCAGGTACCAGAGGATGATTGATGAACCTGTCAAGGCTACAGTAGCAGACAGAGAAAGTTGGCAGAAGTTCAGTGTTATTCAAAGAAATCTCAAATACTTATTTCATCTCTTCTATTAACTTTAATCACAGTTTCAACATGCAGCCAAGAATGAAGCTTTGACAGTAAGCCATAAATTCACACAGGCAAGCATTGTCAATTTTCTGCAGTTGCAATGCTGAGATAACACAAGAACTGGGACATTTTCTTTCTTATGCCTTCTTTTACTGAAGAGCAATAAAAACATTAGATTTACCCACACCACAAATTAATTTGCCATAAATCTCTTGAAATTATTGCACTTACTTTCTCTTGGTTTATGGCGAAGAAAAAAAATCAACTTAGTTTTTCCATTAGATTGCTAAATGCAGATTTTAAAAGATCACAGTGATGACAGAATTGGTATGCGTTTCATCAAAATACACCTGCTTATGAGCACAGACGTTAACACTAAAAAGAATTTACATTTAATATGGGTCATGTGCCATGTGGATGAACACTTCTGGTTCATTCGGAGCCAAAATCTTTATATGGCTCCAGAGAGACTCCTTGACAGATTTTGCTGATCACTCATATAACACCTGAAACATGTATAGACATTATTTATGTTATACACTTACCCACAGCAAAATAGGTACAAAAATGAGGTAAACAGCATCAGCAAGAGTATAGTTCTTAAAAAGGCTGAAAGTCAAAATATATTTTTGGTAAACTTTGTGTCCTAAGCACATTTTTGAAAATATCAAGGACTGGAAGGCCACAAATCCTAACACGCATGTTAACACGCAGGGAAATGCATGGAATTACAAAATCTGTAACCCCTCCTAACAGGTGATTCACAGTCTACCGTGGCCATCTTTGGATAGTGGAGACAATGTTTGACTCTTACCCCTCTCAAGTGTGATCTCTTCTCCAAGGCCGGCTGTTTGTTGACATTACTCATGGAATAATATTTCACACATTCTTATCTCTCTTGTAGCCAGGGAGGCTATGACAGCAGCTATTCTACCTGTCTTTTAAGCCACAATAATACACTAATAATAATCCTGCAGAAGAATGAATTAGTCTGTACTGACAGTTCTTTGAGCTAAACAGTAGGAAAGAAAACCAATTCTGATGAACGAAGAGTAAACTGAGCCCGTTTTTCCTTCTACATTTCTGATTCACACGATCACCTACAGGCACTTAAACGGGAATGACACAGCGTTCTCCTTCCACTGAACATCCTGTCAGCTTCAGGAGAAGTCGCTTCCTCTGACATAGAGTGCCACTGAATATATTGCTGAGCTCGAAGCAGAGGCTAAGTGGTTGGTGGAAGTATTTGGGCGGAAGTCAGTGTTTTCTTGTTTGTCTGTCACTGTTGTGGTTCAGTTCTTAAAAGGTTGAGAACTTTGCGAGGTCCTTCTCCATCTTGGTATAGTGCTCCTTGAGCCTTGCCATAGCTGTCTGGTGCTCTGCGTCCACTTCAGCCCGTCTGTGGGGCTGTTCTTTCATGAAAGCCTCCCACTGGAGCTGATGTTGCTTCTCACTAGCTACTAAATGGTCATTATACATCTGAGAAAAGGAAATGTGAAAGTCACACAACATCTTCCAGACTATTTCTATGTGTAGAAGAGACAAACATAACTTTGTCTCTCTATAGTTGGTCACTATAAAACCAACTGGTTTTTATAGTCATAATGACAAAACTGCATTATAGCTTTAATGTTCAAGAAACAGGACATAATAGAAACATTTAAAACTTTTTTTTTTTTTTAACTATGGGAAGAAAATGTTCAAGTGAGAAGGGGAACAAGGGAGGGGGAGAGAGGGAAGGAAAGAAAGAAAAGACAAGGAAAAAATGGAAAACAAAAATTTTGTAAACAAGGAGGGGAAGAGGAGTTTTAGGGAGGGGAATGGAATGGGAAAAAAAAAGAAGCAAGACATAGCATGTACAGGTACAAATTCCCTATGATGAATGTTATCATTATGTATATCTAAATGTACCAATAAAACTCAGAAAAAAAAACCCAAAAAAACTCTTCTTACTATAACACAAATTCTCACATTTTTGAAAAATGTATCTTTAAATGACTAAAGTTCAATGTTTAAACTTCTATTTTTGCTCAGATTCCATTTAACTACATATTTTTTATCGTTAAAGAATATAAGCTAGAAGAATCACTATTATAAGAAATTAAAGTGTCTGTCTTACATAAAATATTTGTAGATGTATTTGAAAAAAATCATAGATTGTCACTGGAAGAGAACTCATAAAATCTCTTTTGGCTCACTTCCAGTTCTTAAAGCAAATCAAAGCCTAAAACATCTGCCTCAAATACCCTAGTTCTTGAGATGGTCCCTTACACTTCCATATATGGAAGTGAAGATGTGTTTCTGTGGAGCACCACAAGATGACAGGTGAAATACTATATAAAAAACATACATTATCTTCCCCTAAGGTATAATTTCAATTATTATCTTGGAACACACACAGTAAAAAGCTAAGTATGAAAAGTTAACTTTGTAACTGTTGTTTGTATTGTACATCCAGGTCGTTAGAAGACTAAGTCCTACTAAATACATAACAGAATCTGGGGTACATGCAAACCCTAAGAACCTATGAAATACTTAAATTCACTATGCATGCCTGCTCGGGAATGATTAATGCCAGGGCTCTAATGGAAAAGGGAAACTTGGTACTAGACTGGTAACTCAGATGCTCGCTGCCAGGAGAACAGCTACATACTGGGGAAGAGATGGGAATGCGGTCCTTACTGTCCCCCTTGCTCCACATCCTCTGTGCCCTGGATCACAACAACAAGCTGCTGGCAAAGGCTAGATGACCCAACTGCTCTAGGCATTCACAACCCTGCTAGTTGCTCTCTATGGTTTACTTTTACAAACCCCTCTCAAAAGGTTACACTGTTCTCATTTACAAGAAATCAAGGCCTAAGGACACTTTTTTCCTTCTCCATTGCTACACATCTGTTAGCTGGGCTGTGAATTCACATGTAGGTCTTTCCAGCTTCTGCATTTATTTATTTGCCTGCCTGCCTGCCTGTCTGTCTATGGTACCAGGGATTGAACCAAATTCCCAGCCCTTTAGAAAATTGTTTTGTTTGGTTTTTGTGACAGGGTCTTGCTAAGTTGCCCAGGCTGAGGTTGAACTTGTGATCCTCCCAGAGGGCTGAGCTTACAAGTATGCACTACTCACACCCAGCTAACTTTATTTTTTAATAAACACAGAAAACATTAAATATGTGTGATCAGATGTTAAGTTTTTCATTTTTTTTAACCAAAAAGTTGTCATTGACTAATCTGACCTTTTGATCTGGTCGATAAAACAACAGCCTGGGTTTCCCTGCTCACCAGGCAGGACTTTCCTAGTGCAGCTTTGTGGAGAAAATGCAAATTTGGGAGGCACACAAACCTCACTTTAAATTCCAGCTCACTGACTTCCTGCTATAAGACACTAAGCAAGTTTAACTAAAATGAGGAAAACAGTACTTTATATTCATAAATAATACTCATACATATCAAGTTCCTAGCTCAGTGCCTTAACAAAAGGCAATTACTATTACATAAATCATAAGTAAAACATATAGAAAGAGATCATTTTTAACCCCACCAGTTACATTTTTGTTCTTTAATTTTAATAATTTAATTTTAGCAAAGAGTTTTTTTTAATTTGTTTTTTTTGAGACAGGGTCTCACTATATGTAGTTGAGACTGACGTGGAACTCACTATGTAGCCCAGGCTGGTCTCAAACTCACAGCAATCTTCCTGCCTCAGCCTCCTGAGTGCTGGGATCACAGGTGTGCGCCACCACACCCAGCTTAGCAACAAGTTTTTTTTTTTTTCTTTTTTGGTACTGGGGATCGAACTCGGGTCCTTGTGCTTGCAAGGCAGGCCACCAAACCGCTGAGCTAAATCCCCAGCCCCAGCAACAAGTTTTTATATTAACTCAATGCAAATAAATAAAAGTAACTGTCTCCCCAACTTTCATCCTTAGTTCATTTATCCTTGATGCATACGCTACTATTTGACTATTAGAAAAAGCTTTAAGTAAGATACTGTCAACAGTCAGTATTTCTATTTTGGAACTGTAAGATAGTATGACTCAAGATACGCACATTCAAATAGTTTTCACATTAAGCATATCACTTCTTGGCCTCAAAGTCCAAGTGACAGTAAGTTGAAGCCGACAACTTCCAAATTCATAAGAAAATTTAGTCTTGCTTTCTTATCAAGAGGTTTTTCTGGGTGTGGGGGAGATGGGGGTCTCACCATGTGGTTCAGGTTAGCCTTGAACTCACTATGTAGCATAGGATGCCTTTGAACGTGAAGCAATCTTTCTGCCTCTGCCTCCCGAGTGTTGGGATTATAGGCATGCATTACCATATCAAGAGGTTCTTAAGGGCACTTCTCTTTTTTTTTTCCTCCCATCTTTAATAATAATAATAATCGCTATGCATTATGACAATTTGTAAAGAAAAAAACAAGGGAAGTTGACAATACATTCATGTACTGATAATGCAATACTCTTCCTATACAAATAAAATTTAGCTACCTGTAATTAAAATCGACTTGAAATACAGTTGAGAACTATGTGGTAAGATCTTTAAGCTAAAACAACAAACAATACCACAAAATTCACTCACAAGTAATGCAGTTTTCAGAAGATTCTGAACCTATCTGGCCTATATTACATATAATTCTAACTGATTAGCTGGGTTTTCAATTAGAAAAAGAAAACGCTGGTAAATGAGATGGGAAGAAATGAATGACAGCCTTTGGCTCCTTATGAACAGACAGATATATACTTAAAATACAGCATCTGGGAGCATTTGGCATAGAAACACAGTTCTTTCCCTCCCTCTTTCCACCCCTCTCCCTGTCTATCTCAGTCTCAGAAACATCAATCACCATGTCTGTATAATATCTGATGTTTTCAACAACATACAATTCATACAATTAACTTATGATAGTTAATAAATTTTAAAAAAACATAGAATAATATGGAATGTCTTAAAAGATTTCCATCCAAAGTAATTAAAATTATAAAAGCATTGTGTTTAAAGAAGATAAAGACTTCAGCTCTGTGGTAAACTTAACTATGTGTAATACTTGGTGGTTTCTCAAAAACTTAAAACTTAGAATTACCATATGATCTTGTAATTCTACTTTGGGGGTATCTACCCAAAAGAATTGAAAGCAGAGACTTGAATGGATGTGTGTTATAGCTATGCTCACAGCAGCATTACTCACAACAGCCAGAGGCTGAAGCAACCCAAGTACCCACAGACGGGTGACTCCATACCCAAAAAGCAGTATATACAGACAAACAGACAACTAGTCAGCCTCAACAATAACACAATTCTGCCACAATGCTATAGCATTGATGGCCTTGGAAAACATTATGTTAGAGGAATAAGCCAGTCACAAAGACAAATATTAATTTAATTTATATAAGGTACCTACAACAGTCAAATTCATAGAGAAAGTAGAATAGCAGTCACCAGGTAGGGGATTGAAAAAGGGACGGGGAGGTCAGTATTTAAAGAGTACAGCCTCTCATCAGTTTTGCAAGGTGAAACTTTTCTATAGAGATGGTGGTGATGGTTGCACAACAATGTCAGTGTACCTAAAGCCTCTGCAATGCACATTTAAAAACAGCTAAGTAAGGGGTGGGGCTGGAGGGTGTGGGTTAGTGGTATGTGGTTTGCCTAGAATGTATGAAGCCCTGAGTTTTATCCTCAGCACCAAAAACAGAACAAGTCTAAAGTAAACTTTATGTTATATGTAAAATTACACATATTTTACCACAATAAAAAAACTTTTAAATCAATTTCAGAGGGTTCTGCTTAAATGAAATTAATTGTACTCAAGTGAATATTTATTTTCTAAGAAAAACTTAGATAATGCTGACTTTAAAACAATGAAGAAAAATAATGAAGAGAAAATTCATGAGCTACAACTGTGTAGCCAAAGTCATTAGCTATGATATTATCTTTTAGCAAAATGTGCAAATTACATTACAACAAAGAAATAGTAAGAATAGTTTTATATGGGGCCGGGGATTTAGCTTAGTGGTTCGGTAGCCTGCCTTGCAAGCGCAAGGACCTGAGTTCAATCCCTGGTACCCACCCCCAAAAAAAAGAATAGTTTTATATATATCTTCTAAGAGATAATTAAATAGAACCCAATCCTGAAGCTAAGCTGCACTCAGTACCTACTTTGTAAATGAACTCGGGAATACATAATAAAACATATTTTTGCTTGTATACTCATTCAGGGTGTGTGGGGGATGTCTTCCTCCCTAAGAGAATTTGGTTGTGAGGAAAGGAGGAAGGGTTGTTGGCAACTAATGGGTAGAGACCAAAGAAGCTGCTAAACCGACAACACACAGGACACCATCTACAACAAAGAATTATCTATTTGATCCAAAAGGTTAGCAGCACCAAGGTCAAGAAACCCTGGTCTAAGGGAAAATTCTAAATCATCCAACTAAGGTTGAGAAGATTTTGTGGAACATTTGTCAGTAACACACGTGTTAATTTTACATGTGCCTCACACAGGCAAGGGAAAAGCTAGTAAGCAGTATCGTAACAACCACTGGCAAAAACCTTTAAACAAAATAGCGTGTACTATTACACAACATTTTCAAACTCTATCACTATGTGATCTCACTGCTCTCCTGAAAGAATCATAAAGGAGCATAACTAAGTCTAACAAGTATACGTGGACATGAAATGGCAGCAGTCACATTTAGTTCACCATTGTCTCTAGCGTGGTTGAACGGGGCTTCAAAGCTTGATGCCTGCGCATGAACTAACTGAAGTTACTGACAGATATTATTAACCACCTCATCTCTCTGGACAGCACATTTTAAGAGTGAATTTTATAAGCTGAGCGTATTCTCATTTCACTACTCTTACTGCCAGCACCCAAATAAGGTGCTAGTGGTAGCTCTCAAGACATTTAAACAACTTGGAAACGCGCATTTATTGTTCTTTTGAATGTACTGTTAGATATCAATTGTGGGAAATGTGACTTAGATGAATGGCATTTATCAATTTACTTCCCACAGAATTCCACAAATTGTCTTGACATAAAAGAATTAATTAATGGCAACAGTCTGTTTTAGTTCATTACTACTCCCATCTTTCTTTGTTCTGGGAACCTTTCAAACACAAAAAATGTGGCCAACAGGATAACCGAAAGTAACAATAAGCATTAAGTCATAAAATACAAAGAGATCATTTTTGCTTTGTACATATTTACCAAGAAATTAAACTTTACCTTTATATCTATAACTATCACAAATACACATGTAGTCTAAAAACTCTGCTATATGAAAATTTCAGCAAAGAAATGGAAGTAAAATAAACCTTAAATATCCATACTTCAAATGGTCTGTTAATTATAAAAGCACTAAAAAAATAAAGGCTTAAGACTAAACATTTATTGTCCCAGTAAGAATGTAAAGAATTTTCACTGGGCTATGAAAATGCATCCCTTTAATAACGTTAAGCTGATTAATTTTATTAAACTACCTGTATCTTGAAAAAAAATCAGCATGGCTTCTTATAAATGTAGGTTTTATAGATTCAATACTAATTCTTGGTGAAAAACAATCAGTTTATTCTAAAATACTAATCTTTCCACAAAAATCAGTTTAATAATATTGTCAGACATAATGCAAAGAAGAAATCTACTTAATCAGATTAAAATATTCTTATTTCTGGAAGCCATTTGCTTTGAGATGGGGTCTTGCTGTTTGTCCCAGCTGGCCCTGAATGCTTGGGCTCCAGAGATCCTCCCACCTCAGTCTCACGAGTGCCACAAGTACCACTGTGCCTAGCAAAGCCATTTTTCTTTTTAAAAATGGGACTGTACCTTTTAATTTGGAAAATCATGGGGAGGCACCCCAAGTGCTTTACCCACTCTCTCAGCTCTATCTGTGGTGAGTAGCTGAATTTGAAACAAATGGGGAACAGGAAAAAAGTGCCACCTTGCAATTTGGACAATGACAGAGTTTGCCCAGCCACTTCACACAAACTTTAGAATGTGATTTACCCCATATACCTATCACCAAACAGACCGGTATTTATTTTACAGTTCAAGTGCTTGATGCTTAGGAGCTCGACCAAGACTATACAGCTAGCTAATATAGGGAACTGACCATCAGAAATAGAAGAAACCAGGGATTTTTTTTTTTTTAACCTAATCTGGTCTTTTCCCTACTATTGCTACAGTGTATATACCAAACGTGAAAATAGTTCAAAAATGGCAAAAAAAACCTATTCCAATTATAATTTTAGGTTCATTCTGCTCGAGAATGACAAGAATGACCATTTATCAGAATTATAACTGTTTTGATGATGTCTTAGGCCAATTAATATGTACATACATATTCCCCTGAATCTGTTTTAATTACACAACAATAAGAGAGGCAACATGAAAATGGAATGCTACTTTGAACTTTACAATCAGGATAGTTGGCAATGTTAAGATGAATAGCCAGTATTCCATCAAGTAGTTATGCTTTTTAAAAACAAATGTTCCTGGTGCCTCCAATAACTAATTCAAGATCCTCTATGATCATTTCCAAAAATATTCACAGATACTCCACTCACCAGTTCCATCTTTCTCACATCTTTTGTCTTTATACTACATTCCCTATAATGTTTTTCTTTCAATCATCTGGCAATTAAATTTCTACTTACCAATGGAGGTTAGGCTTGTATCCTATCATTTTTCTAACTAATAAATTATTCTTTTTGCCAAGATCACAGAAAGTTCTTTGTAACCTGATCACAGCTTGCTCTTCATCCTACATTATATCACTGTTGGTGGTTTAAGACTCCTAGACTTTTAGTTCCTTGAAAGTAGGAACAACCTTAAATTTAACAAATTATGTAAAAGCTTTTACCCCAGTGGCACCCAGTAAAAATAAGTCTGCTGTCCAGCCTGGCATGTCTGCCATCACAGCTGTCTTGGGCAACACAGCTGTCCTGATCATGATCTGCCATTTCAGCCATGAGCTCGGCAATGGTCCTGCTGCCTGGCCTGGTGTGCTGCATCCTGCTACCCTGGGGCTGCACTCCCATCTGTCTTAAATGTCAAGTCCTTTCAGTAATGCTTAAGTCACCAAATTGTTGAATTTTCCAATTTTTCAACATCTACAGTTGAGGATGTAGAAATTAGAACTCTGGAAAGATTCTTTCCATTATATATTTATACAGTGACAGATATGAACTTTTATTGCGAATTAACTAAAACATGTTCCAAAGAGATGGTGATAGTAACATTTGCTGATACAGGCTAAAAAGCATTATTTTCAGAGTGGCTTGGTGTTTTCAACATTTCTCAAATAATAAATGAATAAGTTACAAAAACACTTTTAAGTGAAAACAGCAAATTATCACAAGAACTTAAATTCTTATGCTGCTTTTCCACATCTGAGTTTAGTTAAGATATAATTCAAATAAGCAAAGCACTGCCCAACAAGTGATTCACATACTCCTATGACTATTCATTAAATAAGCCATCCACAGGCCTGAATGCTTCCTTTTCTAGAAGAAATATACATAATATAGTCTATGCTTCAGGCTCAAAGGAAAGATTTATATTTCCAATCTGGTGGGTATTTTTCTCTCCATGTAAAAGTCCTGTTTTCTCCTCCTCCATGAGACAAATACTACTTTCAGGGAAAAGATGGAAATATTGAAAGGAAAAAGGAGGCCTGCAATTTGAATTATAAAAATATTGATGGTTTGATCATGTGACCACACCTCCTCAGCACATCTTCAGTGAATTAGATGTTTTAAAATCTTTTAAAATTACAGTATAAAATAAACTCAGAATTTTCTGATCAAAAGCAACTGCTAACAATATCCAAATAAATGTTCAGCAGTTATATGCCCTGTTACCCAAATTATCTATTTTTACCTTTCTTCGTTCCTGTTCTCTCTGCTGGAGTCTACAGACAGAGTCATTTGCTGCTTGCACTAAAATAAAACAGAAAATGGGGTTTCAATCAGTACTCTGTTCAATATGAGACTCACTTGGATTCTTTTCAATCTTAAGAAACTATGCAAAAAACATTATTTTGGTGGTTGGTGGAGTGGCTACAGGGAAAGATTAGTTTGGTCAGTATGTTCAGGATGTTGTAATTAGAACCACCATCATTTCTGAGCTCTGAAATGCAAGCCAAAGGGCAAATAAGTACTAACTCCAATGATTAGTAATCGGAGGCAATCTCAGAATTCTCTATAGATAGATACCTGACTAATGTAATTTACATGATGTTCTGATTAAGCATGCCTTCCCACTGTCTCTGATTCATTAACATTCTCCCTCCCTTTTTTCCCCATTCGGACACTACTCTCCCAGGCACCAACTTCAGGCAATGGAGGCTGCTTCAACATCTTTCCACTATTCTTTCTGCCTTTCTGCACTCGTCTTCTAATTCTTCATGACTAGCACTAAAACATTCAACTCTCTCCAGACCATTTCCATTAGATCGTTCCCATTTCTTAAGAACCCAAACTGCTAGTACATATGGGGCCTCCCTAATCTGAAAATTCAAAATCCCAAATGCTCCAAAATGCAGAACCTTTTGAGTGCTGACATGACATACGTGGGAAATTCCACAACTCCTGTGGTATCTCAAGCAAAATTCTGGTGCACTAAACATACTGTCTAACATTATAGTATGTACCTTTCCATGTCCACTAGGTATATATGAAACATAAGTAAGTTTCATGTTTAGATTTAGGTACCAGCCCTAAGACATCTCATTTTATAATTGAAAATATTCCCAAATCCAAAAAACTCTGAAGTTCAAAACAGGCCTAGATGAAAGATTTCAGATAAGCATTACTCATGTCATAATTATTGCAGTTATTTATTGTTTACTATGTGCCAAGGCCTGTGCGAAGAACATTACATGCACTACCATTCTTAGTCTCACTTTCCTCTTAGAAGACACACTATCCTGTATACAAGTGACAAAACTGAGGCACAGAGGAGTGAAGTCGTCACTAAAAGTCACGTAACATAAATATGAGAAAAAGCATTTCAAAGTAGATCCTTTTAACTCTTAAGAATGTGGCCATTTATCCTCAACTCTCTATTCCCTCTTTTATTATTTCATCAGTGAAAGCTGTTTTAATTTTTCTGTTATTCAACTCTTTTCATTTACTAGATCTATTTTATTTTTGTTCACAAAAGTTCTCACTTTGCCCAAATAAAGCATTTAGTACTCAGCAGGCAGGCTGAGAGTTCACCTTGGTCAAATCTAGCTTGAGATTTAGTTGGGTGAATGGTGTCAGGCATGTTTTCTCACTCATTCATCCATCCAGCCATCAAATATTTATCAAGGATATGTATGCTATGTGCCAGGCACTGTTCTTGTTGCTTCAAATCTCAACACCTTAGTTCCCCACTTGTAAAATGAGTATGACAGCTAATAAGAGGACTTTAGGACTGTCATGATAAATGAGATAACATAGTATGCTTAAATATAAATGATCTAAATATTAATAAAACCACTAGATTAGTTCATCAAGAAATATTCTATTATACTATTTTTATTATTTTCCTCTAATTAAAATGTTTTACTACTTTCAAAAGCCCATTTGAAGGCAATAGCCTTCCTAAAGCTCTCCTGGTTTAGTTCTTTCCCTGTACGGATTCTCTCTTCTCCAAAATTCCCTCATCAGGTGTGTGAAGCCACTGCTTTATCTGGCATTTGCTTAAACTCGAGGTGATCTGATCAGTTTACAGTTAGGCCTCTCCACCCCACTCTCAGTCAGGCCCGACTAGGTCACAAGGTCCACAGCTGGGCAGGGACCATGATTTCTTTTTCAGGAAAATGTTAGGCCTTTCCCTCTGGGAAGGTGTAAAAGAGGAGAATTTTGTTTGCAAAAAGCTATGTTTTTATCAGTAACCACTACTTTTATTTATATCAAAGACGGACTAAAAATTAGGTTCCCAATCATTGTTTTTTCTAAAAGAAAAGATGAAAACAAAATGGGAGTTGATTAGATCTGCCTTTTTCAGTGGCATATTAGTATTACATCATCTTTCCCAAGTACTGGTTCTATCATTTCCTGGATTTTTTGCTTTTGTTTTTTTTTTCCTCCTTCCTGGCTCTGTGAACATAACTGAAAATTTTCTTTTGCTTCACCATTTTCAGATCATTCTGAATTTAACCTAAAAAAAAGTTAGAGCCCTAACTATGTTACCCATTTAGTCACTTGTTACATCCTTTAGATTTGGACAAAGGCATATTTTGTTTCTCAATGAGATTGTCCTTATATTTGGACAGAACATCCATTTTTAGAACGTTCAGTCCTTCTGAAGTAATTTACTTTTTAATCCTTTAGGTACAAATTAGAAAACGTTTGCTTTCTGAGTCTATAAAATTTGCTTTTCTAAAAATCTAAGAACACCACCTGATCAAAACAACCATTCTCTTCCTTTAACACCAGCAACTCCAAGAGGAAATGGTCCATTTCTCAAAAGCTTCCTATGAGGTTCACATTGCTTAACTGAGCATGAAGTGTTTTTCCTTGCTGTCTTAATGTTTTAGAAACTAAACTAACTTTAAGAAGTCACCAGAGAAAAGTGTTCCAAGGAAGCAGTGAGTGCAAAGGCCCTGAGGTATGCTTGGCACATCAGAGGAAGAGTAAGGAGGCCAGTACAGCTGGAATGAAGGGAAGGCCAAAGAAAATGGTAGGATATAAAGTCATAGTGAGGCCATCGAGTAGAGACACTTCCAAGCCATTATAAGGATTCTGGATTTTAATCTATACAAAATAAGGATATTCTGAATATCATAATGAGAAGTGAGTTACATGAAAGGATAATTCAGGCTCCTCTGTGAGGCACAGACCAGGGGAAGAAAGAGAAGAAGCAAAGAGAAGTTTTGAGGCTACCAGAATGAATAATCCGCATAAAAGATGACAGTGTTTTAAATCAGGGAGGTAGCACCTGGTGAGGTGTTAAGCATGGTGTAATTTTCATATTTTCAAATTTGAACCAAAATGATTTTAAGCGTGGCTCTGGACATGTAACACTGAGAAGCTCATTAGACATCTAAGTGGAGAGAGGAGGGAAGTGCAGAGATGTTCACCTGGCCACTCGGATAGAACAGGAGGAAAGCAGAAGTGAAAGGGAAGGGACGTTTGGTTGTGGACATGTTACACAGAGCGGCCAACAGAGCACCTGGGTGGACCAGGCAGTTGGATACTGAAGTCTGGAACTCAAGTGAGTGGTACAGCGTGGAAATACACACATGGCATTACTGACTGGCACAGAGATGATATTTAGAGCTCTCATTTTATATACGATCACCAAGCCAGTGAGTATAGACAGAAAAGCAGTACGGAACCATGCATAGGCACATCCGACGTTGAAAGTCAAGGCAGTAAGTGAGAAGTGAGAGCCTGTGTGGTATGAGGAAACACAAGCATGGTGTCCCAGAAGAGGCATGTATGGAAAGTGACATCAGGCGAACTTTGGAGTCAGACATAGGTGTATGTGATAGTTCTTCAAATTATTATGAGGGAGCCATCAGTGATAAGCCACTGTAAGTGTCAGTTTCTTAGACTATAATGTGGGAAGGATAATAAATATCTATTTATCGGGTTACGATAGTAAAATACAATATACAGGTGAAATTCTAACTAATAAAAGTGCTAAAAATAAGTGTTTTAGAGATATTAAAGATTTCTAGTAAAGTGGCAGAATGAAGCAAAATCTTAGTTCTCTAAATACCTTGCAAAATAAATAAAATGTTATATAAAGGTAAAAATGTATCACTTAGTAAACAGGAAAAGAATCATAACTGTGTAATATAAACTTTGAAAAGGAGTGGCCAAGAAAAGAAATACAGATCCTAGTAAGGAACTGAGACTCCAGCCAGCACTACACAACCCATCCACCAAAAGCCAGACTTAGAAAGACAGGCTGACAAAACTCTTAGAATTTTAATATACTGTAATTTGTAGAAAAACAGAGGACAGAGGGAGGGGACAAAGGAAAATAGAGATGAGAGGGGACAAAGTAGCTATTCTGAAAGAAAACTAATAAAATTCTCCTTATGTCCTTTGCCATACAAAATAACAATGAGTTTAATAAAAAGATCAGATGTAATGCTAAAATACAAAATGAAATAAAAAGTAAGATTTCAGAGCTAACGAAGTAAATTGAGAATTATTACAGATGCCATAAATAAACCATAAATAAAAGAAAGGAATTGAATAACCTAAGACTGAACACTTGGCAGTCACAACTGCAGTGTAGAAGCAAACCCTAGGCCCTCAGAGTTAAGCTCGCCAATGGGCGGGTGGGCAGGAGTGGCAGGGGTTCTGGAGCTGGCCGAGGCCCGCAGGAGAGGCAGTCAGCGACACTCCCAACCACAAAGCAACACAAGAGAACGTGACCACTCCTTTGGAAAGATTTCAGTAATCATTTTCCTTAGAATATTTTAGTAACTACTGCCCTTTAGAGTAAAAAACACTTGTTTTAAGTACTGCCTTCTGTCTTAAGTTTGTGTCCTGTCAAATACAAGTGAACGATTAATATTTTAACCTTAATTAATGTTATGATCCCATTCTACCTCTCACACCCTAAACTGTCTGGAGTGATCTTCACTGAAGTTAAAAAACCATAGTTACTGTAATGAGGATGACATCTCTCTCTCTCCAGCACGGGAGACTGAGCCCTGGATGCTCTATCACTGAGCTATACTCTGGCCCACATAGGATCTTGCTAGGTTACCCTGTATCGGGAATTACATGTGTGTGCCACCATCCTCAGCTGGTTTTTTTCTGCTTTCTTTTAAAAATGTCTTGGCTGGGAGTGTGGTTCAGTGGTAGGGAATGTGTGAAGCCCTGGGTTCAATCCTAAATGCCAAAAAAGTAAAAAAGATAAAACTTTATTTTTTTCATTTATTTTTCTTACCACTTCAAAGAATATTCTTCTACTTTTAAGTAGTAAGAAAACAAAGTTATTGTGCTTAAAAACAGAGAACAAGTGGGGGACAGAACAGTCTCTGTAAGGTCATTCGAAGGAGGTACAACCCAGAGGCTCTCCGTCCCCCTAACTCTGACTCCAAGGGGCCCCACACTGAGGCAAGCCCTCCTGACCTCAAATCCGATGACATTTACACCCCATTCAATAACCACTAAGTTCAACTTAACACACCACGTGTCTTCACATCTTGATGACAAGCTGCCTTAGCGCTGCTTTCTCAGAGCGTCATTTAATTTCCGTGGTGAATGTGGGTTCTAAAGCCTCTGCTCCTCCAATCCCAGCACACTGCAGCAGTGGTGCTGATGTGAGGATCCTGCAGTGCAAATCCACTGGGACCAGCCCAGAAGGCTTCCTGCTCCATGTGCACACTGCTAGACTGGTGCAGGACCGTCAGGTCTGCAGAGTTCTGAAGGGCAGTGACTGAGCCCCAGTACTGCTGCTCACAGGCAAGTGAGAACTAAGGATGGTGCTTCTACAATGGGCACAAAACAAAACTCATCTTTAGTCCTATGATGATACACACTTCGATCAGAAAATATTCCAGGTGACCTTGCACATCTCCTCCCTCAATTAGTGAAAATAAACAAGATGTAAAATGTCAAGTTTTTAAATATTAAAAACTTGTTAGGCAAGATAGCGGGGCTCAGGCTAATTTTTAAAACAACACCAGCTTTAGAGGCAGATAATTATTTGTTATAACCTGACCCTCAGCATTAAGTACAACAGAATTCTTATGAAGAAGCTTTTTCAGAAGAAGCTTTTTCTGCTTGCTCTGAGTAGGAAAAATCTCCGAAAACCACAGCCTGGTTTCTAAAGCCAGCAATAAGATTCAAAGTATTTCACAGATGTTAATTAGAAACCCTAATTATTAACTTCGCATCTTGTATGCTATGATTCTTCCATTCAAAACAATAAATTTTCAGTCTACATTCCAATGCCAGTCATACTTTTGTATTTTACTGGGAAGACTTTACTGTTTAGAAACTAGTCTCCACATCAGAAATAGATTTGGTCCAAGAATGAAGCCAGTCAAAATAGGTGATGATAGTTTTTTACTAAGTTTTATTCAGGTTCATTTTATATACTCAAAGCAGACAAGAGAAGAGGTTATAGCCATGTCTCAAATGCACACCTGAGCAATCTGATTAATAATTACTGGAGTTTTCCTCTTAGCATAGTGTCTAGAATGTTTGTCAGGGTGAGGGATATGGCAGTAGGAACAAACAAGCAAATTTGTAAAAAATGCAAAGGCCCAAAAGTCAACATTAGACTTTTTGCTGTTCCACTCAAAGAAACCAAATGTGAAGTTAGGAGACTCAGCCCTTCTGAGCTCCTTTACAAGCGGAGAACTTAAACATTGACTTGGACCTGTGCACGAAGGCTCAGTCAGCTCCACTACTGACAGAGGAATCTTGTTACTTCCCTCACGGGCCATCCCAGTATAGGTAAGTTTTTGTCACCACCCCCCAAGATATTTTTCCATTCTATGCTTCAAGAATCCATCATTATTTATCAATGTAAATCCCTTCTTGGATAAGCTGAATGTTTTCAATACAGATCTGAGGAGATCTGTAATACTGCTATGCTAACAACGCTTCCTTTATGTTATGGTTTGATGTTAAAGAATATTACTAAATACTCTTTTGATCAACTATTACTCCATATTAAATATTTTGCTTAATAAAAAAGTGACAGAATACAAACATTTATGAAAGGATTTTTTTGAAAAAAGCTAAAACCCCTAAGAAGTCTATTTGAAAAAGAAGTTTCCTTTTATAAATCCTCCTAATTCCTGGCCATCAAACACTTTCTTACAAATTTTTTAAAGGTGAAAATGTTTTGATGTCCTCACGTGCTAAAGGACTGCCCTGGGAACCGCAGACATACACATCTTACTTTAGAGATTAACGCTACTGACATCAACAGCAACACAGAGCCGCCAGGAGACAGCCACTTTCTCTGTGCCTGGGATTTCTACTCCTGCATCCTAGGAGTTCTTCCTTTGTTTCCCATCACTGTACTTGAAAAAGGACATGCTGGCACAGCATTCATCTGCAATCAAGCACAGTATAAAGACATGGCTGGCTTACATCTCTGGAGAACGTCCTTCAAGTTACTCTCCATCGCATCTCCACACTTGGGAAGAGTGTGCTCACTTGTCTCACAGATCATATTCTTCAGATTTTCAAGAACTCGCATTTCTCGGAGACCACGCTTTTCCTATAAAAAGAAAGTAAATGTCTAATGTGTATAGTATATTTAAAATCTTAGTAATAATTTTCTGACATTTTCACCCAGGTTTTGGTCCTTATGATACTACTACTGAAATTTACACGGCCTTCTTCTAATTTGGCAGTCAATGGGGGTCACAACCTGAAGGCATTTTTAAAATCATGAAATGCTCCAAAAGTTGCAAAATAAGCAATATTTTATAGCAATGCTTAGAAATTGAAACAGGAAAAATTAACAGAAGAGACTGAGATTGCTACATATTTCACTAGAAAAAAAGGTACCTTTGATCTAATTTTCAATTTCATTTTGTTGTTCTTATGATGCCTCCATTGTCATGTGTCCTATTTTTTTCCCTCTCAAAATAAAAATGGATGGTAAAAATCATGATATATAGATACTTCTCACTTGGGCGCGGTGGTACCTGCCTGTAACCCCAGCACTCAGGAGACTGAGTTGGGAGGACTTCCTCGAGTTCAAGGTAAGACGGGACTACATAGCGAGTCTAGGACCAGTCTACACAGCAAGACCCTGTCAAAATAGAGCAGGGTGCTATATAGACACTTCCCTAAACAGAACGAAATGAACGGTGAAGGCTAAAGACTGTTGGAATTAGAACGACCCGCTTGCAGGGTCGGTCTTGTCTGGGGGCTGAGCACTTGATCAGTAATCAGTTCCCTACACTGGTATAAAACTTTCCATAAACTGTAAAAGTGGCTCACTGTGCTCAAACTGTTGGTACAAGTAACATGGTTAATGCTGAACACCTCTTTCCTCTTGGGAGTATGGAATTTTGGTACACTAGGCAGAGGAAGCCCAAAGAGAAACCCTGGACTCCCCTGGGCAGATCGTACTTTACGTGTTGTTACAATTGGTTGCTCTGGGAATTGAAAGCATCCTGTGTGACTGCACTGGGAGAGGACTCTGGAAGCTTCTGCCTGGTTTCTTCTCTCCAGGAACCTTTTCCCTTTTTGATTTTGCTCTCTATCTCTTTTTTGTCATAATAAGGCATAGCCACAATATAACCATATGATGAGTCCTGTAAGCTCCCCTAGTGAATGACTGAACCTGGAGTGGTCTGGGGACCCTGTCATATGCCTGTCCACAAAGTAGAGCCTAACTACCCTCCCTACCCAACTTGAGTGGACTAGACTTGTTGACTTGCTTCCAAAAAATAGGCCAGGGAAAGGGAAAGACACTTATCTCCACAGTGGAGAAATCTAGCAAGTGTTACCTCAACCAAGCAGTGCAGATGCGAGTGGAATCGTGTCACCAGTTTGAACCCTGATGTGATATGACAAGAAGGGTACTTTGCCTAAGAAGTTTTCCTCCTCACAACTCATGAGCCCAGTCTAATTGTGAGAAAAATATCAGAGAAACCTAGAACAGGAGGCATTCTACAGGATACCTGGACAGCACTCAAGACTGCTAGGGTCAAGAAAAACAAGGAGAGATGAGGAACTATCACAGACCAAAGACAACTAGGGAGACAAGATAATTAAATGGAAGGCAGTTCCCCGGGTTCAGTCCTGAAACAGAAAGATTATAATGAAAAAACTAGTGAAATCCAAATAGTCTGGTATTTCATTAACAGGAATATGGCAATGCCGGTTTCTTAGGTTTTACAAATGTGGCACAGTGATGTAAAACATTAATAATAGGAGAAATTGGGTGAGGGGTACATAGAATTCTCTGTACTATCTCTGCAATTTTTCTGTAAATCCAAAATTAATACAAAACAAGTTCATTATGGAGGTGTGGCCAGGGTTTGGCTTGGTTCAGATACCTGCCTCCCAAGGATCTCCAGTACTTAAAAAAAAAAAAAAAAAAAAAAAAAAGAGGAGGTACAAAAAATAACCATACAAAAAGCAAGCCAGGAGTGGTGGTGCATACCTGTAATCCTACCACTTGGGAAGACTGCCCAGAGTTTGAGGACAAACTCCGCTACACCGTTAAGTTTAAGACCAACCTGAACTACACAGTGAGACTCTAACTCAAAAAGGGGAGGGAGTAAATACAATGGTAAGAAAAGTTAGGCTTTTGTTTTGGGCCATTCAATGACGTGGCTGCGTGGCTAGTTTATTTTGATAATTTTTCCTTAACAAAAAATTAAAAACTTACACAAAGTCAAGAATACTACAATGGATCCCCATGTATTTATCTCCAAGCTCAACAATTCTCTACTCATGATTGATTCTGTTCCCTATATAAACATCCCACTCATCTCAAGATTTTCAGGCAAACTGTAATTTCCCTGTAACTATTTCAACACATCTTTACAAAATAAAGCTTACTCCTAGAATCTTCCTCTCTCATATACAGTCAACAATAATTCTGTAATACTGTTAAATATCCAGGTAAGAAAAATAAGTATCAAAGTAGTATTCCCATTCCTTCAAATGTCTTGCTTTTATCCCTCTGACTGAGCCAAAATTTAAATAAGACTCATACACTGAAACTAGTTAATATGTTTAAGTCCTTTTTAGTCTACAGATTTCTCCTGTTATATCTTTTCCTTGCAATTTGTTGAAATAAAGTGAGTCACTTGTTCTGAACAGTTCCTCAGTTTTTTAATGAATGGATCCCTGTGGTATAATTTAACATATCTCTTTCCTTTTTTGTAAATAAGTAGTCAGAATTTGAGTCTTGATCAGAGTAGGAATTTTGTTTTGTGTTTGCACAAAACTTTCAGAGTACTAAAGGAGTAGAGGAAGTGAGAGGGGTAGGGGAAAGGAAAGAAGAGAAAAGAAAAAATATGAGAAAAGGATAAAATGGAAACAAAGTCTTTGTAAATAGGGAAGGGTAGAGGGGGTAAAGGGAGGGCAGAGGAATAGGAGAAAAATAAGGACCAAGATAACATCATGTAAAGGTACAAGATCCCACTGATGAATGTAACTGTACTGTATCCCTAAAATGTACCAATAAACTCAATAAAATAAAAAGGTGACTACAATGATCCTGGTAATATGTAAATAAAATGATATATAAACAAAGATCCTTTTGAGTAAAGAAAAACAAAACAAAACAAAAAAAACTTTCAGAGGTAGGTTATGCACTCCCACAGGCTGTTAGGAGTAGGCTGTCTTCATTTATTAGCAGGAACACTTCTATAAAAGAGAAACTGCCCTTGTATGAGGAATGCTCACATATAAAAGACAAAGAAAACACTCGATTTTTGTCCTTCATTTGCCAATTTTAAAATACTGAGTTGGTTCACTAGCATTCTCTGCAGGTGATCAGAAGAGCATTTGTGTTTATACGCATCCTGATGGCGCACAGATCTGAAGCTTTCCGTCCACCACAGAGAGTCTCCTCACTGTGCAGACTGGCCCCACTGTGCCTGGTGGGAGCCCGGGCCAGCTCAGCCGGCTGCCATGACCCCAGGCCCAGCCATCCTGCCCTTCTTGGAGGGGGCTGAATTCAGAGACTGAGCGTGAGGCTTCTCACTGCTGCTCTTGGCCACTGTTTCTAACCTTCCAGGAGCAAGGCCAGGAAGTATGTGTGGTGTTTCTTTTTTTTCAAAGAAAAGAAATTACCTTCATCTGTTTCTTCCCATTCTTCAAATCATCAGCACAATTATGCATTTACTTTATCACTGATTTAATCAAATAATATCAATACTAACAACAGCAAAATGATTATTGAAAAGTTTAAGGCATTTTTTTGAAATCATCTTATTTTGAAGGTAACTTACATTAGAAATGTAGTCGAATCACTGTGGTTTTAACACTACTTGGAGTGATTTCTGAGTAACAATGCCAACATCCAGAAACACAGGGTTGCTTCTTTGCATTTTACTTTGTTTTTAAGGATTTAATTTTGTTTTAAATTATATAAAATAGATACATGGCTCTAATTCTCTATCTGTAAAACACATTCAAAGAAATCTAGCTTCTGTCCCTATCATTTATACCCTATTCCCTCTATCATGTTCTCTTTATGTGATTACTTTTTAAAGTGTACCCAGTTTTAAGTATAAGCATATATAGCTGCTTATATAATGTGCTTATATACATGTATATGTAAGAGTATACACATTAATATTTATTAGATATCAGATGTATATATGTAACTGCATTCATTCTTCAGCAGAACCTGATATATAAATGTTTCTTCTATCACTTTATGAATCAAATTCCTAAGCATACACATGTAATAAGTATAATTTTCATATGATCACGTGGTCTATTTGTTCTCTTTGGTATACTTCTGAGAGACATAGATGCTCCTCAACTTCCAATGGGCTTTTATTCTGATAAACTCACAGTAAGTCAAAAATATCCTAAGTCGAAAATGCACTTAGGATACCTACCTTATAGAATATCCCAGCTTAGCCACACAGCACACTGTGGAGTATTGGCAGCTGAGTGGGGCTGCGGCTTCCTGTGTTCCCAGCATGACAAGAGAGGACCAGCCTGCATGTCAGCAGCCCAGGCAAATATCCAAATTCAACACAGTCAAAGGATGGTTTCTACCAACTGTATATTGCTTTTGGTGTTATGAAGGCGAAAAATCCTAAACTGAACCATTCTGAGTTGGAGACTGTATATTTAAAAGTTGGCATTTTTCTTCTTACAGTTATGTTTATACTAATACTTTACCTAATAGCTTTGTATATGCCACCTTGTTTTTGGTCAGTGTTTGCTTCCTACTTTAAGGATATTAATATTAGGTGACCTTTTCTTTCTCTAGCCTTTCCCTATCCCTGAGGATCCAATTGGAAACTGTCCTTTCATTTTCACTTAATATTTATGAGGCAACTAGTGAGGGCATCCTACTTTTCTGACAGTTATATTACATCTCCTTCCACTTCCTCACTTATACCTTCACTGTCAGGACACAGAGGCACTGCATGCCACACTGTCTCTCTTGTATACTATTTAGTGTTAATCCTATAACTAAACACGTATTATGAATCTTGTTAGGAAGCAGTCTTTCCAATCACTTTGGCTATCTGAAACCCACTTGGTGGTGTAACACATTCCTCAGGG